ACTCGGAAATATATTTTTTGTTTTATTTGAAATTACCTTCGATGGATTTTAAATTGTGGATTTTTTTGTCTCATTTTAATTTTCTCTCTATACAGTTTGTTTTAATTAATTTTATACATTGATAGGAACACTGTTTCATATTATACGGGAATGGGCGTTTATTCTGCAACACAGTTTTTGCAAAACTAAAGCAGATTTAACGATTCATAATTTTGTGTACACTGCACTTGTTCCAAATAAAGTTATTATTATTATTACTTTATTGAAGAGCTCGATGTCGCAGGTGGTTAGCGCATTCGGCCTGCGATCGTGAAAGTTAAGCAATTTTCGCCCTGGTCATAATATATGAAACCATGAGAAATGAAATCATTGGATGGATAACCAAAAACTTACTGAGCTCCTCCGTGGTTATGAAAGCACGTTAAGCTGTTGGTCCCGGCCGCATCTGCAGTCGTTAGCACTCACCAATCCGCACTGGCCTCGCATGGTGGGTAACGGGCCAGTCTCCCTATTCCATAGGGAAGGCCTGTGCCCCAGCAGTGGAGACATTAATAGGCGGATGATGATGATGATGATGAACTGTTTGTCATCAGAAAATTCAAAACTTTCACTGGCGATGACATTTGGAATGCCCTAAACACCGCCGCTATTACTGACGGAAAGATTCCGAAGGATACCAACATCAAGACGATAGCTAACACCTGGATCGACAAGGATCGTCTTCCGGCCGTTATAGCTCAGAGGAATTATGACAGCAACACCGTTACATTAACACAGGTTAGTGATTTCATTATGTTTTAAGTAACTTTTATGCATAATCAAACAGATGTAACTGAAGGTCTCTATCTCTAAAGGTGGGAGTAAGCTTGAATTTTGCCAAAAGGTAAAACTTAGATCGCGAAGCATTATTCGGTGGGTTTTTTTTGTCGCGAAGTCGCGGGTACTCCTTAGTAACTTATCATCAGCCTTTGATGATAAGTTACTAAGGAGTACCTGCGACTTCCTCTGCGTGGAAAAATTGGTTTCCAATACTATATAATCTTCTACCCCCTTTTCACCCCTTGAAAAAATTATTTCTGGGATTAAAACTATCCTATGTCGTTTTTCGGAACTTAAACAATCTCTAAGCCAAATTACATCTGAATTCGTTTAGTGTTTGAAGCGTGAAGAGATAACAGACAGACACACTATCGCATTTATAATTTTAGCATGGATTCAATAATGCTGAATGGAGATAACCTTTCCGGACCATCTGTACCATTAGGCAGCAGTACTTTTAATGGTACAAATGACAATGATTTATCCAATTATTACTATAAAAAACATACACCTATGACATCCACGTTACTTTCAAAATAGTTAAAAATTATAAAAAGAAAACATTGTTATCACTTTAAGCTCTAAAGTGGAAGCTTCTAACACAAAACTTAAGCAAAGTAGCTATCCTTGTGATCCGCTCAGATTTTGTTAGGTCGACGTGGAATTCACTTCAGCGAAATATTCATGTGGGAATCCCGCCAAAGTTGTCGCTGTAGCTTAAATTTGGAGATTTATACATTGCCGTGAGGTTGGTTTCATAACAATATAAGGAAATATTAACTTAATTCCATCAATCTATTAGAATTATACCTTCTCGTGCGTTGTCGCAAAATATGATGGAAAATGCATGTCTCCTTTCCGCTCATTTTTGACGCATTCCATTAAATATGTGTTACACATCCTCCACTTTTTCACATGTTTCACAATATTTTTATCTTTTATTTTGAAATTTATACCTCATGACATGGCATTTTTAACCGACTTCAAAAAAGGATAAGGTTCTGTGTTTGACTGTATATGTGTAAACTCTTATATATATATATTTTATGTATGTTCACCGATTTCTCCGTCAATTGTCGACCGATTTCCAAAATTTTTTTTTATTCGAAAGAGTGCACTTCCGTGATGGTCCCATTGGAACCAAGTCAGGATCTGATGGTGGAATCCGGGAAAATCGAGGGAAACCTTCAAATTTCAAAGGCACGCACGATGTTTTTTTATGCATGTTCACCGATGTCTCCGTCAATGTTGTTATTTTTTACTTGGACGATGATGAAATTTTCACCAAAATGGATGAAATAAAAAAAATTGACATCAAAATCGAAAATGGAACTGGAACAATTCTCCACAAACTTACATCTTTCTAGTGCTAATAGTCTCTAAGCAAAACCAGGAACGGACAGACTGACATGACGAAACTATAAGGGTTACTACAGAACTCTAAAAATGTGTAACATGGAATCCATGATTAAAACCGCTCGTGACTTGGTTACAAAGCGCGCATAGCTTAATTTCATATTATTTTGATTACTTAGCTATGTATGTGAGTAAAGTTTCGTTCACCAAGTATGCATGTGAGTAAAGTTTCGTTCACCAATCCGATGATTGGTCTTTGATAAACTTGATCAACATTCGCAATAGTAGACCAATTAACCAGCTAATACCTGATTGAGCTTTGCCATTGATTACTTTGGCAAACTTTGTGTTTTTCCTAAGCGATTTCTTCTACTTATTACTTCCCGTCTCCCGAGCCTTCAGTTAGCAAAGTTAATATACCTATACTATACTTATAATACTAAACCTAAATATATACTTATATATGTATCAGTATATGTCTTCTATCCGTTACCATTTTAGGGATCCGCAGTTAGGACTGCGGAAACCTAAAATTTGTGATGCATCATCCACCCATACATCTATACTTTAATATTATAAAGAGGAAAGATTTGATTGTTTGTTTGTAATGAATAGGCTTCGAAACGAGAATTTTTAGAATCCTACATCATTACATTATCCCTGATGAATATTGGCTATAGAGTATTTTCAAAAAATTTAGGATTCAAAGGTGCGGTTTCAGGGGACAGGAAAAAGGTTATAGTGAGTCAAACTTAAAAGATAGGCATATGCTGTTGCAGACTTTTGTATAGAACTTTTAAATCTTTCTCGGTCCATACATTTATAACAAACTAGTTAACATATCGAATCTCAAGCACAGCTCCGTTCGGGAGATGCGAAATAACATCTCAAAAATGTTATTAAAATGGTCGTATGACAGAGCTGAAAATCTTTTAAGGATAATGATGTGATTATACACATACGCACACACACACACACACACACACACACATAACACTCACATACATACAAACATACGCGCATCACCAATGTATCCATTCTTTTAAGTTGGTTGTATTTTTAGGCCGTAAGTTATATATTGTTAATTTTTTACTTCCCCCATAGGACGGGCTTCGCCTAGTATGGGTGACTGTTATGTCTTATTGTAATTTTGTTTATGAATAAATGGATTATTATTATTATTATTAAAGGGAAATAATTCCATCATACATGATTTAAGTGTAACTTTAATCAATTACGCGGCGAACGCAACGAAAGCTCACAAATGGAATATTTTTACCCTTTTTTGGAACAATTTACATCGATAATCCGCTCCTACTGGCCGCAGCGTGATGTTATATAGCGCTAAGCCTTCCTCAATAAATTTACTATCTAAAACAAAAAGATTTTTTCAAATCAGACCATTAGTTCCTGCGATTTGCGCGTTCAACCAAAAAAATGGTGCATTCGATCTACCGGGTTCTAAAGTACGCAACAAATTTTTTACAATCATTAAAATAAATTTTCATTGAAGGTTTATAATGATATAAAGAAATTCATTGTGTATAATACAATCCTGAGAACAAAAACAATAGTTTACCTACACTACAGCTCTACACCGAAGCGAAGCGAGGGCGGGCCCCTATCACACTAATATGTAAAGGCTAAAGTTTGTGAGTGTGTGTGTATGTTTGTTACTTCTTTACGTCTAAACGGCTGGAGCGATTTTAATAAAATTTGGTATGGAGTTAGCTGACCTGGATTAACACAAAGGCTACGTTTTACTGCGGGAAAATATCCCTAATAAACCTGGGGTAACACCGCGGGGCACAGCTAGTGGAATATAAAGTAAATCTTGTTAGATTTAAAATTATAGGTACATAAAGAAATCAAAACGAGCTAAAAGTTTTCTTCGCCTTTATTTATAAAACATATAAATATTATGTCATCTGTGTATTATTTAAATCTTTGCTAATTAGGTATATTGTGACAATGCAACGGGTCTCTGTAATAGCTAAATATTATTTTATATAATTATGTATTAAAAATATTTTGAAACCCACTTCTTCGATTAAAAATAAACTCTCAACTTATTTACCGCCAGCGGTCAGTACATTTTCAAAATGGCTAATTTCATTACATTTTTAACATCTCTGGGAGTCAGAGGAAACATAAATTTCACCAGCTGTTCACTTTACTAAACAGTTTTCAAGAGTATTGTTTTAAACTTTCATGGTCACTAGCATTATAGTAATATAAATTATTTACGGGATTGTTACCTTGTTTTTAGCGAGTTTCCGATATTTCTGATTTGTCTGCCAATAACAGCCTACCCGCAATTACTTTAGTTACTCCGGGATCATGGCGCTTGCAACAGTGCCGAAATATCGGAAACTCGCTAAAAACAAGGTACATGGTAACAATCCCGTAAATAACTTATATTAGTTTTCAAGAGATTGGGAATAATGTCAAATCTTACTGCTTACAAATCAGACGAGCCATATATATGCCTTTGTCACTCTTTGAACGTAACTTTTAACTAGTAATAAAATATTTAATAGTCTGAAAAGTTATGGATTCTATTGTAGCCAAAGAGTTGGCAATTACAGAAAACCCAACCAATGCAGAAATGTAATCGTTTAGCTGTAGCTATAAGAGTTTGATGTTTAATACCTATGTTCTCACTGAATGCGACATGAAACTGCATGTAAGTAATAACTTAATTACAATAGCATACATTTTGAATTTCACATTTGACAACTTTCTTACTTATACGAATAAAAACAATAATTCCCTGCTTACAATTATACTACTTCGAACTAAAGAAATGTAGAATCAACTTCATGGCTATAATGGCTTACACTCCACCACTTTAGTAGAATACAGTCTCCTTCTAATACTTTACGTCGAAGTCAAGCAATTATAGCCTTTAAAGTTGAACATCTAACTTCTTCTGTAGACTTTTGTTCTTATACTAAATTGATGAAGTATTAATGGTATTATCAATTTATGAACTGGTCGTCTTTCACTTCGGAGCTGGCGAGATATCGGTCCAACCATTGTTCTATGACTGGCACGTTCTCCGCGGACCACTTGGCTTCCTCTCTTATGTTCTTCATGGATCGTTCTATGATCCTCTCTGCTGAGCTAAACTCTCCCTGGTGGGCGACGTACAAATTGGTGACCAGGTCCAGTCCTGCTTGCGTCGTGAAGTGGGAAGTCGCAGAGGTTATAAGGTTGTCCCAGAGGTTGGTTTTACTCGACAACCTGTTAATAATATAAGCAAACAATTACTATGATCATCATCATCAGCCTATTAATGTCCCCACTGCTGGGGTGCATGCCTTCCCTATGGATGGAATAGGGAGATTGGGCCGCGGGACCAGTACGGATTGGTGGGTGCTAACGACTGCAGATGCAGCCGGGACCAACGGCTTAACGTGCCTTCTGAAGTACGATCCTTCGTACTTCGAGCTCCTGCTCGAGGTAGTAAATTTTTGGTCACCCACCCAATGACCGACCACTGCTAAAATTGCTTTGCTTCTACGATTGCAGCCGAACGCCCTAAACACTTGCACCATCGAGCTCCTAAAATAGCAATATAACAAATTCAGCCCTCGATTTTGATGATGCCACCTACACAATATGTTTTCATTAAATAATTCTAAAAATCTGACACATATTTGGTTATGGTTTGGGCATGGGATTTTTTTTGTCCTTTGAAAGAAACTTTAAGGCTTTAGTAATATTAACTTACTTCCAGGGGTGGGCGTTTTTAGAATAACGATGCGTAATAACGATGTCAGGTTTGGATGCGCGCATCCGATGCGACTGGGTACCGTTATTGGATGCCGATGCCATCTAGTTTCTGTCAACGTTACTATAGCAACAGTGCCACAAACTTATCTGTGCCGGTGAAGATGTCGCTAGTGGTGAACAAATATGTCATGGAAATGTCACAATTCTATGGATAAATTGTAGTTTACAGTTTCGCCACCGGCACTGAAAAGTTTGTACTACTACGAGACTGACATTCACTTCGCCATCGTACATCGCGACAAAAATTTCATCCCCATCATCTTGATGCGTGGCTATCCACAACCGTGCGTTTTTGTCGAAATTTTCTACCACGTACGACAAAACTGTGGAATATATTGTCGCCAGCAGTGTTTCAGGACCAATACGGCCCAAAAACCTTCAATAAAAGAGCGTACTCCTTACTTAAAGACCGGCATCGCATTTGTGATACTCCTGGTGTTGCAAGTGTCCATGGGCGACGGTGATCACTTACCATCAGGTGAGCCGTCTGCTCGTATGCCCCCTATAAAAAAAAAAAGAACGGCATCGGTACGCGGATCCGTTGCGATTTATCTGATACCGATGCGCATCGATTTCATAAATATCTAAAAACGCCCATCTCTACTTACTTCTCCTTCAGCACGTCCCAATTGTTATTCAAGAAATGGAACAGGGTCGTGTACCCTCGCGACCCGCCAGACAGCATACTGAATACTAAAAAGATGTCTGTCTCAGTGAAGTTGCCGTTGTCCTCGAGGAGTGTGATGTTCAGCAGCCTTATAATCTTAGTCTCATCGTTGGGACAACCCGCCAATGTTTTCAGGAGGTATGTCCGTTCACTCTGCTTCCTCGACGGCGGGAAATTGATGACCCTCTGGAGGCCAAACTCCCATTCCTTCCTCGTGCCCCATTTGAATACTGGACATATGTACTGGTTGGATATTCTGGAAGAAGAACCGTTGTATGATTCGATGTTTTCTTTAACTTACTAACTAAATGCTTACCTACTTAGTGATATACCTGCCACCTGCATACGGTAATAGTTACAATAGGGTGATGACTTTTTTTATTTTTTTGATGTGTAACATCTTTCCTCTCGCTTTCCTGCAATTTGTGGGAGTGATTTCGTGAAATGGGACGGAAGTGCTATTTGATTTGGTTTAGAACAATGTTTAAATGGTTTATTCCTTTGGAAGTATGTTTCATTTATTTTTTTACTAATATAAGGTGAGGTTTCAAATGTTACACATCATACGCGACTTCTGTAAGGCTCGCTCGTTTTTTTCATCGTCTATCAGGTAGATAATCTAAATAGTATTGGACACGTATTTTTGAAGTGATAACTTCATATGGGAGGGTGAATCGCTTTATTACGTAACGCGTTACGGCGTCAGTCTGTCAGGCTACCCTTCCTCTCACGCGTACGGAAGCGGTAGGCAGGCTCCTCTCTCCCTGTAACCCGCAACGCCGCTTATATGAGTTTAAGTTATCACTTCTGTCGTGCGTTCCGAGACGCACGCACACGCCTTTTTTTCTTTTTTAACATCGCCATTATGAGATATATTGAATCGAAATATCGCATGACGTCACGTCTTGGTACAATTTTCGCTTAGAAGTTACGTCACGAGCCCCCCACTCTCAAACTCTGACGCGCTTTATCTTTTTTTTGGCTGATCTTACTGAAAGATAAAATAGAATTTAGTTTACTTTAGCCCATCATTGTCCCTATTCGCCTGTAATACGTAGTGACTAATAATATAAAATTATTTTGTTATTTAGAACTCAAAAGTATAAAATTATAATCTCATCATGATTTACTACCTTACATATATACATATTTATCATCGAAATGGATAAAAAAAATACTTATTTCCTTTCCTGAATTGCATAATAAAAGGCTTCCCGGATCTATCCCTTCCTGTCTATTAAACCTATGTAAATTTCCAATTGTACTCCGCTATTGTCAACCTATTGTCTATTTATTGTTTATTGTGTTAAAATTTAAATTCCTTTTCATGCATTAACATATTTAAGAAACACAGTAGCTTCAACCGAACATTAATAATATACTAGAACGTACTACCTTAGTGCTCTTGTGCGCCGATGAGCCCACTGACCTATTTAATTCGTTTAGCCAAAGAATCGTGAAAACAGCCAGTGGTGCACGGTGGGGACATCAAAGGAAAGGATATGACTGTGCGGGCGCAGAGAAATTCAATCGGAATAAGCAGACCGTCGGCTCCGTGTAATTGGATTGGATCATGTAAAGAGGGTGAGTATTATGATTTTTTTTAAATGTGTATGTCTATTGGGTCGTAAAAGGAATTAATGGTTAAATCTCTCACGTTATACGGACTTCTTTCAAAGGTACGACAAGCGTTTTACTCTATGGAAAGAAGAGAGTACGAAATTCAATTTCTTTTAATAATAATTTTATCATCCATGAAATCTTTAACAACATAGTAACCTTTCTTAAGGAGACATGTTTTTAAACACATTTCTATTAAATTTCACGTTTAAAATGTATTGTTTGATGCGCATTTTGGTTTTAGTAATTTGTCAATTTCAAATAGCTTGAGTTGTATTAGTTTTGTTCATGTTTTGTTCTGAAGAATTTGATTGTTTACGTTTCTTTACTCATGTGGTATTATTATATTATACATAAACAATTAAACAGACATCATAAATTACCCAGAGAGATTAAAAATAACTTGCTAGCCAGTTGTAAAATAGGTACATACTAAGAGTGCACTTGCACAATGGTAAGAAAATTAGAACTAAAAACTTTCCATGTCCATTAAAATTTCTCCAAATATACTTATTCGACGACCTCCGTGTGCCGAGTGGTTTGTACGCCGGGTTTCATGGTGTCGCCGACTCGAGAGGTCCCGGGTTCGAATCCCGGTGGGGGCAGATGTTTGTGTGATGAACACGAGCATTTGTACTCCAGCCATAGATGTTTATTATGTATTTCAATATAAATATACTTATATATGTACTGTATATGTATTCTATCCATTACCCTAGCATCCCATAACGCGAGCCTTACAATGCTTACTTTGGGGCTAGGTTAATTGGTGTGAGTGTTGGAAATATTTATTTATTTATTATTGTTTTTATCAAAACAATGCTAAAATATGAAAAATATTTTGATGGTTTCAAAAAGACTTCACACTCACGGGTTGCCTTCATCAGGGTTCTTCGCTTGCATCCATTTGCTGTACTGCTCCTGCGCCTCGCGTATGCAGGGCTTATACCCGGCCTGACTGAGGAAGGTCTTCGTCATGGTGCGAAGGTTCTTGCGCCAGGTCTCCTCCTCTTCGTGCTCGTCTTTTATCTCCTCGTACAGCGGGCTTAGGATCATTCTGACGTATGCCTGTGTGAATAAAGAGTCCATGAAAATGGATACTTTTAGTGAAAATTGCTTGATATATCGCATCTGATATATATATCGCATATATATAGATCGCATATATGTCGCAGATATATCGCATGATATATCTTGATATCGCAAGTGACAAACAAAAGGGTATTATCTTCAAAAACAGTGTGTTGAGATATCGCGTTTTGAATTATTAAAAAATCATAGAAGAGGAACTACTTGTTCAAATGTTTAAAATGATACCTTGATTTAAACATTTAAACGTACATTACCCTGTTTTGTCTTGAGAAAGTTTAGTTAGTGTATCAATAGTAGTTTTTATTTTAAAAGTACTTTTATATGACAGGGTAAAGGAAATACCCTATAAGCAGTTCAAATGGCTCAAATGGCTCATGTTAAAATTAAAACTAGTATCATTTTAAAATAATTTCGCTGAAAATAACATGTTAAATAAAATTGAACAGGCCAGAGGGTATTATTTTAAATAAAACTTCAAACTTGTATTAATCCGAACGGGCAATAGGGTATTAACTTAACTATAACTTAATACTGTTTACAATACTCACAATCATAAATTTTGCCTAGAAATTGACGACATGTGTTGCTATAATTAAAAACAATTTCGAATTAAAATGCAATTATCTTACCAGTTTATAGAGATAAAAAATGTAGTTTTCGAAACGCAAATAAATAAATAAATGGTTTTGCCGACTTAATACCCTATTGTTTGTGACGTGCGATATATATATTTAAATCTAGCTGCTGCTCTTAATCTATTGATTGAATATAGGATCAATTACCATCAGGAGGACCAAAGATTTATTTGTAAGTAGCGGCCGCCGCGGCGACGTCGACCGCATTAATCAAGTTTTTTGATAATTTCTCAGGACCCTTAAATTTTTCCAGGTAAAAAGTATCTTAAGTCTCAATCCAGATAACAAACTACATATTTGTACCAAATTTTATCGAATTCCATTCAGCCGTTTTTTGTGAGAATGAGTAAGCGATATACACACCTACAAACAATCACATTTCTAATTATAATAAGTACTAGCTGAACCCCGCGGTGTTACCCGCGGTTTATTAGGGATATTTCCCGCAGTAAAATGTAGCCACTCCTAGCTAACTCTATACCAAATTTTATTAAAATCGCTCAAGACGTGAAGAAGTAACAAACACACACTCACAAACTTTTGCCTTTATAATTTATGTGTGATAATTTAAGATAATTTTTACGTAAAAGTGTATGTTTATATAAATTGTCTGGTACGTATATTTTTCTCTTAAGTTAATGAAACTCAATCATAATATGTATTCTAGTTAGGTGTCGTCAACGACAACTTGTCGTCCGGTCCGCGTCCTCGCATTGTCCCCCGGAGGGACGTCCCGGAAGTGCCGACGCGGGCTTTTCAATACACTCCCGCCCTGAAAGTCATTTGTTTGATGTGTCTAGTCGTATTGTACATTCTACGAAATGAAATAAGAATAAATACTTTATACAAATCGCCTTTTGGAAAGCTCTTTTGAATCGTGAAACATTTTCTGACTACTTCTATTATAGGACGTCTATTTGGCAAGCTCGGTTGTATTCAATGGAAAATAAAACCATTATCATTTACTTCATTTCAAATGAAGTGAAATGAATTGTGTTTTATGATTTGTTTTAGCATCTGTTTTTTATGTTAATAAATCTTAGGTTCGTCAAGAAACGAAAGAAAATCTTCCGAGAAAGCTAGCTTTATCAACAAAACACCGAACACCTATCATTATGTGGCGTACAAAGTTATCTTAGGGAATACATTTAAGAAACTATAGTGAATCTTCTGGGAAAGCTAGTTTCATCTGACAAAATATCTGACGTATGCAATGCGTGACGAAAATTTCAGCTTTACTATTCTGTAAGGACTATCTCACTTCTCACCCGGGAATTCGCCCGTGTGATTTGAAATTCATGTTCTAATTTTAAAACACAAAAAAGATTTCGTGGTGAACTGTGAGTTTGTTCTTGTTTGTTCAGAATAGCACTACAGATCTATTCTACTATATAAAAAGAAGTCGGGTTTTCTTTCCTGACGCTATAACTCCAGAACGCATGAACCGATTTCCACGGTTTTGCATTCGTTGGAAAGGTCTCGGGCTCCGTGAGGTTTATAGCAAAGAAAATTCAGGAAAAATTTCAAAAAAAAAATTCTTCTTTTAATCACCAAACGAAATGTTACATAAAACGAAGCCATCTGATGGCGAAACGGAGTTCGCCTGGTTTGCTAGTTACTAATAAAATACACTACATACTGTTGAATTTATATTAAATTTAAATTGGCAAAAATTAATCTATATATATATATTATAATTTGTATTCCTTTTGTAATAAAAAGAAAGTAACATGACTAGGTAATGCCAAAGTATACTTGTTCATTCAGTCTTAACTCAAATACTTCATTTGTTCGTTCAACCCTCACTCATTCGGTCATTCACGCATTCAGTTCACTTATAAACTTGTTTCACTTTGTATTCTGCTGTGCTAGGAGTCAGTCGTATCAGCTTCCTAGTAAAAATACATTTCACAGAAAATAAGTATCATTCGTCACTGTGATTCCGTATTTTATTCAGCACCTCTGACCTATAAAATCTACACATACATCACAAATTACAATTACAATTGACAGCACTAACTTGGAATTTCCCATGTATACATTCGCAGATGTGGTTTCCTAGATGATCGATCATTGTGAACACTGGGTCCCACACGAGGTGGTTCCTCTCATTCTTGAGGAACAGTGTCATGTTAAAAGCGGTTGCGAAGGAGAGATCCCCGGCGTAGGCCAAGTTCCATGCGTCGTGAAGGATTTTGGCCCTAGTCAGTTCCGGGATCAGATGGCGATTCTTGCTCTGAAGGTATCGAGAGAGCAGGTTCCAATTTTCGTGATCGTAGTTCACGGGGAAAGGTGCTGGAAAGAGTTAGAAGGTTAATATCATTTCCCATTAGAAACGACTCAAATTATAAATTTAATTTCCAATCGGAAGTATCCTATATGTGAAGCTAAAGAACTAGGAGATTATGAGATAGGTATAAAAGTAGCGAAACCTCAATGATGCCTTGACGGGTCTTAGATATTGTATAAAACATATAATAAGAATTTCCAAATTCCAATTCCATTTATGACAAATATATATTTTTGAAGTGAAAACTTCTTTAGCGGCGTTGTACACTTTTTTTGTATGGGTAAAAAATGTTAAACTCGCGTCAGATTAAACACGTGGGCTGATCGCATCATGACACACAATAAAATGTTGTTGACTTTCAATATATTGAAGGAAACATAGTAATAATTATTTAATTTATTTTACCGTATTATAATAATAAATCTCTATCTAGGATATCCACGTGGCAGCTTTATTGCGAAGAAAATGATTTTTTTACAATAGATGGCGCTAGGTGCGCTTAAATGTGTTTCGTGTAAGTTGATTTCTTTACAATAGATGTCGCTAAGTGCGCTTAAACGTGATTCATGTAAGTTGATTTTTCTGAGAGATAAACTTTTTAATGTAATATAAATTGTCATGTTTGTGTACGATAGCGCAATAAATAAATATTGTATTCTACCACATAAATGATAGTACTTTAATGCTGATAATAAAAAAAAATCGTGCAAAATTTTTCCTTCACCATTCCAAAACATCAAAAATGCACAACGTTAATATTCAAGTTTTCTCTTCTACCGGCACTCCCGGAGTGCAACCTGTCGTTTTTTTTTTAATTGTCTCTCCCTGATTAAGGAATTAGAGATAACGAAAGAAGAACCAATTTACGATCTCAAACAACTTCGCGCTTCAAAAGATTGGTCACCATCAGTTGTGAGCACCCAAAAATCTACACTGGGCTCTAATGGCGATTTTTAATATGATCTTCTATATTGATGGAGTCCTTAAGGACACCTTGTAACCCAACAGCGACCACATAAGAAGGATAATGATGAAGCGACGAACGTATTATTACCGATTTCTTCAGGATTCACGATAATGAAGTTGTCCCTATTAGGTATGTCGCTGTGGTTGAGCTCCTTTCTGTCCCGCATCCACACGCCGGGCGTGGCTTTGATCAAGTATAGAACTTGCTGAAATATAGCTTGGAACAATAATTGATTAAAAGCTTGAGTTTACCGATGTCTTCAGGGTTCACGATAATGAAGTTGTCCCTATCAGGCTTGTTGCTGATTCTGAGTTCCTTTCCGTCTCGCATCCACACGACGGACGTGGCGTTGCTCAAGGATAGAACTTTCTGAAATATAGCTTGTAGCAATAATTGATTATGAGCTTGAGTTTACCGATCTCTTCAGAGTTCACGATAATGAAGTTGTCCCTATCAGGCTTGTTGCTGATTTCCTTTCCGTCTCGCATCCACACGACGAACGTGGCGTTGCTCAAGGATAGAACTTGCTGAAATATAGCTTGTTACAATAATCGATTGAGTGCTTAAGTTTACCGATTTCTTCGGGGTTCACGATGATGAAGTTGTCCCTATCAGGCATGTCCTTGAGGTTGAGCTCCTTTCTATCCTGCATCCAGACGACGGGAGTAGCATTGCTGAAGTCCAGCTTGTCCTCACGCACCAGCACGATGGGCGCCCACCACGACATGCGCGCGGCATCCGGCACGTCGTGCGGGCGCTCGCGGAGGTACACTTTCTGGGAGTACAAAGAAAGTTGGCAAGTCACACGGCAAAAATAGGCGATTTCACATGTTAAACAAATGCTTGGACGTAAACATAAGCGAACGCTAACTTTAAAGTTTGAAATAATTAGTTGAGTATAAGATTTTGTTTCACAGATATTTCTAACACTCACATCAATTAGCTTAGCACCAAATTTAGCACTGTAAGGCTTGTGTAATGGGATACTAGGGTAACGTTTATAATAAATACAATAATAAACATATTAAAGTATGTTCATCTAGAAATGAATATAAAAACTAATTACTTAGGTATAAGGTATGTACAAATGCTGGGGGCCAATCGCCTAACGGAAATGCTTTGGGAAACGCTAACGCTTACAATTTTATATTGTTATTTCTAGCCGCCTGAGGATTTCGAATACCTCACACTCATTTTTTTTAATATTGTTATTACCAATGCAAAAGAAAAAGTAAGAGCGCGAGGCATTAGAATACCTCAGGCGGCTAGAAATAACAAAATAAAATCGTAAGCGTTAGCGTTTTCCAAAGCATTTCCGTTAGGCGATTGGCCCCCTGGTATTCATCACAAAAACTTTTGACCTTTGAGTAGGCGACATCTTGAAACCTGATGACCGCCATTAATAAGTCCATGCACACCACTCACGCCATAGATGTTTTCTATATCACAAGCTTGTTGATTCCGAAATAATCCAATGTTTGATTAACACTCACAAAAAATACGACAAATAATTTGAAACGAATAAAACGGATGCCACTTGTCCAAGCCCCTAAGCGGAACCAGGGTTTAGAGAATTCCAATTTCCTGTATGAGATAAGATAATCAAACAAGCGGCATGCCTATTATCCGTATTTTGATATTTTGCGCTTTTTTACAAGCTTTTATTTAACTTGCAACGTATGTTTATTCGAGTGGAATCTTACAACTCAATTTTAAGGCACTTGCTCTCAACCGATTGAGCTGAAATTTGGTATGCACGTTCAGTTCGGATGACAATGCATGATTAATAGTGTGACATCATTCTAGATCCTACATGGCGTCATATCCAAAATGGCGGAGCAATCATTTTTAATGCATTCCTACACATATTAGTATCAAATTAAAGGGCTTGCTGAGAATTACTCGAAAAATAATGTGACGCCACTCTTAATCGAATATGGCAGACTATTAAAACTCAAATATCAATTTAAAAAACAGATATCTTTAACTAATTTAGTTGATTTTTTTATACACGTTCAGTTTGGATGACAATTCATAATTAATTGTGTGACGTTATTCTAAATCCAAGATGGCGGAACACCCAAGATGGCGGAACACCCAAGATGGCGGATAATATTCATTTATTCGTTCCTACAATATGGGGCTTGCTGAGAATAACTCGAAAAAGAATGTGACGTCACTCTTAATCCAATATGGCAGTTTATATTTTTTTCTTTTTAGCGCATTTAAATAAAAGCTTGTTTTTAAAAAGGTTTTTTTACCTTAATTTTTTTTAAATGACAAATACAATTATTACAGTATATTATTAGTAAATTGAAAAAAAACTACTGAATAATGCTTCGCGATCTAAGTTTTACCTTTTGGCAAAATTCAAGCTTACCCCCGCCTTTTGAGATGACCTTCAGTTATATTTGTTTAAATATGCATAAAAGTTACTTAAAAACATAATAAAATCACTTACCTGTGTTAATGTAACGGTCTTGCTGTCATAATTCCTCTGAGCTATAACGACCGGAAGACGATCCTTGTCGATCCAGGTGTTAGCTATCGTCTTGATGTTGGTATCCTTCGGAATCTTTCCGTCAGTAATAGCGGCGGTGTTTAGGGCATTCCAAATGTCATCGCCAGTGAAAGTTTTGAATTTTCTGATGACAAACAGTTCATCATCATCATCATCCGCCTATCAATGTTCCCACTGCTGGGGCACAGGCCTTCCCTATGGCGGGAATAGGGACATTGGGCCATGACCCACCATGCGGGCTCAGTGCAGATTGGCGGGTGCTAGCGACTGCAGATGCAGCCGTGACCAACGTCTTAACGTGCCTTCCGAAGCACGGAAGAACCCAAGATAGAAGATTTTTGGTCACCTATCCAATGACCGATCACTGCGAAAGTTGCTTAACTTCAACGATTGCACCCAAACGCGCTAACCACCTGCGGCATCGAGCTTCTCAAACAGTTAATTAGATGTAAAACAACAGCGTAATGACACAATGGTAAGCGCGCACGGACTGCAACTTGCGAATGTCAACATTATTTTTTTGATAGGTCCTTGGTAATATGGGTGATTAACAACTAATGAGGAGCTCGATTTCGCGGGTGGTTAGCGCGTTCGGCTGCGATCGTTGAAGTTAAGCAACTTTATCAATGGTCGATCATAGGATGGGTAACCAAAAATCTTCTGTCTTGAGTTCCTCCGTGCTTCGGAAGCCACGTTAAGACGTTGATCCCGACTGCATCTGCAGTCGTTAATCCGCACTGGGCCCGCGTAGTGGGTCATGTCCCAATATCCCTATTCCATCCATAGGGAAGGCCTGTGCCCCAGCAGCGGATACATATATTGAGAGCTTCTGCAAAGTTCAAACTGCTAACCTTTGCACAGTTGTAATAACGGTCAGGGTTTTTCTCTCCGTGCTCAAGTAGTTTATTTGGTTATTATATTTTTTATTTTAAGCATATAACTACTAGATGCTAAAATCTTTATTACAAAAAAGGTTCGAGCCCCTTCTGAAATCCGCACCTCGTAGATTTTTTTCTAATAAAATTTCTGTAGCTTTGTTGATAATAACGGCTTCCTTTTTATCATTTTGAAGGGTAAGCAAGCTCTTAGGTGTTTTTTTTTACTTTTTAATTACACTGGCCTGCAAATCTAAGTATCACAAGGTTAAAATTATTATTTTTCTAATCTATATAAATCAGAGAATTATAATAAAAAAAACCTTTTTATAGCAAATATAATCAGCTTTTTTATGAAACTGTAGTACAAAATTAAACTCTTGAGTCCTTTTTATTACATCTTGAGTACTTCAAAAATTATTGCAATTTTAAAAGTCTTATACTTAGTTTTACAGGCTACTTGCGAATGTCAACATTATTTTTTGATAGGTCCTTGGTAATATAGGTGATTAAGAATTAATGAGGAGCCCGATGGCGCGGGTGGTTAGCGCGTTTGGCTGCGATCGTTAAAGTTAAGCAACGTTCTCAGTGGTCGGTCATTGGATGGGTGACCAAAAATTTACTATCTCGAGCTTCTCCCTGCTTCGGAAGGCACGTTAAGCCGTTGGTCCCGGCCGCATCTGCAGTCGTTAGCACCCACCAATCCGCACTGGGCCCGCGTGGTGGGTCATGGCCCAATCTCCCTATTCCATCCATAGGGAAGGCCTGTGCCCCAGCAGTAGGGACATTAATAGGCTGATGATGATGAATATTTTCTTTAGATTCAAACATTGTGCAATTACATGCTTAAAAATTTAAAATTATAAGTATCAGTAGCAGCTCAGAGAATAAGAAAGAATATATCACCTGGATTCGATGAACGCCCTCAGTCCTTTCTTGAAGGTTTCTCCGCCGAGGGTGTAGTTGAACATGCGGAACAGCAGCTCGATCTTGGTGCATGCCGTCTCCTGCTTCATGCCCGTGATGCGGGAGTGCGGGTACCGCTTACTGAACTCATAGTAGATCGAGTACAGCACCGTCATCGGCCACTTGCCCTCCATCTCGGAGCCGTTGTTGATCTGGTGATGAAAATAAGGTATCATTCTGTAAGTCGAGGTGATTCTACCAGGATTGCCAGGTGATGGTAATGAAATAGTACTACGGACAAAAACCAAAACAACTATATTTTAGTTTGATACCCCAAGTTCAGTTGGAATAGTTCTATTGGTTGGACCATCTTTAAAATTTGATGATTGTGGCGGCGACATCTACATGCCCCACATATAACTAACATGGAGGACATAATCTTACGCCTCCTCAAGAGATGGCGTTACCGGCGTTGCGCTCACAACGTATGGAAGCCTCGCAAGTAAAATTCGGAGATTAACACTCGGATATATTCGATGCCCGACCAAAATCAGTCGGGCCGCGGCCCCCGGTCTACCATCACCCAGCTCGGAGGAAGATCTTCCCCTTTGGCCTTCCTACAATGATCTACCTGCAGAATTTAACCTATGGACACGGTAATATTATCTATACAGTATTGTGACTCGGCCCTGTCCTTGAAATAACTGCCTACGGCCGAGCGGGGCGTATCCACGCGATAGGGCTGCCCGCCTACAGTATTTTAATTTCATCTACATAATTGAGTTTCTTTCTAGTTTTGTGTGTATTACGTATAATTATAATTCTGATGTTCATCAGTTTGCTGAGTTTTTCGACTCTAGTCAAGTCTCATATTGGTGGATTATTTGTCATATTTGATTTTGTTCATTGGTAGTGCGTATTTTTAACAAATGATGAGTCTGTCATTATAAGTATAAGTCCCGTATAAGTTTGTCATTGATCAAGTCATTTAAGCACAGTGGATAAAAACATTTGATAGTGTTTAAAACAGTTGTATTGTATATGACTTCTATGAACGTAGATATGAATTGATTAAAATGAGTTTATAAAAATTATAGGTATTACAGTTAATCTTATTTACTTTAATAACTCAACCAATAGCGTAAGACGTTTATTGTTTTGGTGTGTGTAGCTGTAAGAGTGTTGTTTATTCAGTTTTTACATAAAAGCTACACCTATGTATTTGTTTCTTAGGTTTTCACGCACATTACTCATTAAATAAAACTAGTTTTTACGGGTTAATGCACGAACTTTATTTATTTATTGATGTTTCGCAGCCTTTTCAGGTCTGCATCGTCAGAATAATGATGTTTTATTTACTTTGTCGAGTTACCTTCGAAAGACTCGAAGGTACCAGTCTTTCGAAGGTCTGAAAAGGCTGCGAAACGTCAAAAAATAAATAAAGTTCGTACACCTATGTAGCTCTGCCAACTTCTTAAGAGATATATACCTTAAGGTATCTATATATTATTGAAAGTTTAGGAAGTCGTTCGTTCAACCACATCATGAAATGCTCCAGTGATTTTTAAGATCTAATAAAGGTTAATTTACAGTTTCCGAAGAAAGTTTATATCTAGCAAAAGTTCGAGACGAACTTCGAAAAGATATATGGGGGCCTTCTCTCGTTCGTTCGCTAATCAATTCCATAATCGTTTCGAACTTGGAAGTCCGAATAACCATCTATGTTATGTATATTAATTCATTCAACGATCAGCCAAACTGGGCTGGGAGCAAAAGAAAACATAGGATATACCGTTACCCTAGCATCCCATAACACAAGCCTTACAGTGCTAATTTTGGATCTAGGATAATTGGAATGTGGAAAAAAGCCTCCAAATCTAATCTAACGTACATAGTAGGATGCTTACCTTGAAAGCTGTTTCCGCTGCCAAATATCCGACCAGAGCCTTGTTTAAATGCGCGTCCGACCACCATGCCGGCGTCGCCAGAGCACCCAGCCATTGGTAAGATATCTCTTGAGCTAGTTGCAGGTATCCCTTACTGCTCAGGTCACTCTCCCTAAGAACATAATCGAATTTTTCGAAATCGCGGTTTTACAAGACGATTGGCACATCCCTACCTGATATTAAGACTATCTCATATTGAATATGAGTAGTATCCAAATTTTAAAAATAGCTGATACTGAAGAGATTCGTTTCGCATCAGCCGCGCCGCTTTATTACCCTACTAATCGAACTCTTGTTACCTACCCATGGCGAGTTTTCTGAAGACTTATTCTCCCTTATCCAACATTCCCCTTTTGCCCCATCCCAATTCGATCAAAGAGATTTGGTGGCTCATTTCTTTGTCACACTATCCTTCTTACAAACCAAGGTATATTCAAGAAGACGTGAAGAAACAATTTCATGACTGGTAAGGTGAGGATGGTGCTGTTATGGCAGTCTAGTCTCTGAGCTGGTTGAAAAGGCCGGCAGGGAGTTCTCGAATATCTTCGTGGCAACTCCCGGTGGCGTAGAAGACATTCTTTCCCCGACAAAAAAAAGGTTAAAATGCAGCACCAGCATACTTCGCGGTTTGGATTTCACCGTCATTTAACATACAAGTCACATACGGGTAGAGACATTTGCTCGGAACTTCATATAAACAAAAAATAAATTACTGTAGAAAAAAAAATATGATACGTGATAATGTTATCAGGCTGCAATATTCCGTTAAGTCGTCATGAACATAGGAAATATAACACAAAATTATACTAAAATATTGGTGTCGATTCTGGCATAATTCTTTAAACTTAAAACTAAATTTAACATCAGTCTCTTGTCTTTTCATTCTGTATGGAGAATGACAAGGATACTCTGCTGTAAAATTTAAGTTTAGGGTTAGAGAAGCATGCCAGAATCAACGCCATTATATAGTTTAATATGGATTTAAATTGTAAGACATTAAATGGTCATTTAAAATTCGAATTCAAGTTGATCACCGCCACGAGAATCTAGAAGCGGCTACTAAAGTGGCTGAAGCGCGCGACAGCAGCCGACTAAGGCAAGGGAAAGAGGGGTGGGGAATCGCGCGAGTGGCGTGTGGCGGCGTTTTGTATCGGCGCATTAAATGGCCGGTGCGGGCCACAAGAAATATGCCGGTGGCGGCGTTTTGTGGTTGTAGTCGGTGGCCCGTGTGCGGCGACTCTTAGAGATACCAACTATTTAATTTCACCTAAATTAACCTTATCTTTACCCTTGGGTGTCTAACGTTTGATAGCTCCAGCTATTTATCGTCAGACCTTGAACCACGGCCATAAATTAGCATAGATAATTACTTGCCACAGATAAGCAGAGCAGCTAACATGTAAGGGCCCCCTAGTAGAGTTAACACTATCAACATCAACATGGAATACTAATTAAGCATACTTATCAAGTACTGAAGCCCTCATCCAGGACTAGATGTGAAAAAACAGAAACTATTAAAATTACAGTACTAAGAAAATAAGTTAAGAATTCAGGATAATTTTGGAATCGTTTATACAACTGTCTGGCAAGATTTTGTTATTGTTTCCATTAACACATGACAATTTGAAAACCACTGTGGTCATTGTCAACTCATCGAAGTTTGACTTTGAAATTATTATCTTCACAAAGTTTAAAGAGCAGGGGCAAGGTAGCTGACTGGTAGGATTTTGTTACTGTTTCCGTAAGAACAATTTGAAAACAACCATGGCAATTACTGCAGTCTTATCGAAGTTTGACTTTGAAAATCTCATACTTTAATGGGTTACAGTAAGAACTATTACCCAAATTGATAGTTGAACCTTCTAAGAATTTTAAATTTGGCATTCTCATTAGAAAGCATATTTTGGCAATTTCAGCACTGTTTTTCTTGATCCGGTCATGTCAATAGGGAAAACCTGTAATCCGGGATATAAATTCATTGAAATCGTTCTAGACCACATGTTATTTTAAAGATACAAAATCTTTTCATTATAAATTCCCGGAGAAGTGACTAATCCTATGTTCTCAAAAAATTAATAGTGGCTAAACAAAACACTTCATAAAATCCAATTAGTTGTATATTAATAAAGACATAGTTTCCTTGAACTAAATTTTACCAATCAATTGTCACTTGTTATGTTGGCTTCTCTTTGATTAATAGCATCGTAGCTTGTGCATTGTTGTAGTCGTCAAATATGATAATAATTGAAACATCTAAATCACAAGTTACTATGTAAATAATTAATTAATTTACTCCCCTGATCACATCTCTCCTGTTAATAACAAAAATTATGAATATTTGGAACGCTCTGGATTAGCTCCACAAACTTATAAGAAATTGACGCCAGGTCAAGCTGAACAAACATTGATAAGTTCAAAATCAGCTTATGAGGCTCGGAACCCAACCTATGTGTTTGCATTCTGTGATTTATGATATGTGGCTTATGTCTTCAAGATTTCATGTATCAGCAATTCACATAGTTTCCTAAGACTAACAGAAACCTTTACCTATATAAACAAATGGTCATCAACATGATAATTTGTGGTTGATCTTTTCCCAAGGTTCAAGTATTTGATAAAATACGACTGTAGCAAACAATGAGAAGTTGTTTTTTAAAGAAGCGTAGCCCAAAATACGTAGATAAAATTTATTAACATTAGATAAAAGTTCTTGCCTTTATTTTAAAATTGTCGTTAAAAAGTTTCACAAACATTATTTAAATAAATAAAAAAAGAATCGTCGAAATGTATGTAGTTACCAGCATTACTTCCGAAATACTCCACCAAGATCAATTTTTTTTGCAATTATCTGAACAAGGCTTATATAAAAAACGAACAGAAAAAAATGGCGGTACGAAGTTCGATGGGTCTTTGGGTCAACTACTTTTTTTAATATATATTTTTTTTAAACTCACTTGAACACAATTAGGCCCCAATTATCGGCAGGCTTCACTCCTTGATAGTTCGGCAGGGCTACGAAATCCAGCTTCTTAAGGGGTAGAGGAATGTGCCAAAGACTCGCTATCTCAGTGAACACTCGGTATATCTTCTCGTTCACTCCTTCAAGAGCCTGAAGGAATTCTGGCCGACCCCAAACGCGAAGCTCTGAACAAAAAAATGGATCATAAAAACATACATGAAAACAACAAATACGTAATTTCAAGAGAAATAAAGATTAGGGGATTTTCTTCTCGAATAGGGTATTTGACAGTATTAAAAATAGGGTGCCAATTGTTAGCATCTGTATTAAGAATGAATATTAGCAGGAGTTTTTACTATTTTTACAGAAAAAATATTCATAATTTTACTAAAAACCCACGATAAAGATAATAGTTTTCTCGTCTATTGTCGCGTGACCCAAAACGCTTTGGATTGTGGAGCCTAAAATGACGTCACACGCAAGTAAACTTCTTTTAAAGTGACATTTGATTGTATGGTTTGACGTTTTAATGACAGACGTGTGACGTCACACACCAGTGAGCCGCCATATTGTCCAGAGATACGTTTTCCGCGGCAACTTGAAAATAGAGTTTTTGAATTAGTTTTTTTACCGAAATACACAATATAATGATGAATATCCAAATTTTTATGGACTCTATAAACATTGGTGAATAACGTGAGATCGTTTTCTAAAACTTGTCAAATACCCTATTATTATGAGTTACCTCATATTGAAGTAATTTTTCAATTTGACGACTCTGTATATAATACAGGGAGAAAAAAACAGCCCTTGCTGAGTTTTTGCCGGTTCTTCTCCGTACAAGGTCTCCCGCCGTAGATTTGCGAACCGATGGCGTAGCTTTTCGACATGTGTCACAAGTGCTTGTAACAGCCTAGACTGAATAAACGATATTGAATTTTGAATTGGAGCGCCCGTCTTCCACCTTATAGAAGACCACAGTAAAATAACACTGCCTTTTGGTGGTGTTGTGGTTCAGTCGGTCAGTAATGTTTCAGGCCTCCACGGGGTAGCCTCAGGGTAGGCTACGGCGTGGGTGATATTTATTTGTTATTGTAAGCGTTTATAGGTTATGGTAGCCGTTTACTTCAGGCGGGTCATATGCTTGTTTCCTACCCTTATTACTCAAAAAAACGACGGGTTGCACTCCGGGAGTGCCGGCAGAAGTGAAAACTTGAATATTAACGTTGTGCATTTTTGGATATTTTGGAACGGTTAGGGAATAATTTTGCACGAATTTCTTTAATTATCATTATAAAAGTACTATCATTTATACAATGTGGTAGAATGCAATATTTATTTATTGCGCTATCGTACACAAACATGCCTGTTTATATAACATTAAAAAGTTTATCCCTCAGAATTTCTCATTTAAGCGCACCTAGCGACACCTATTGTAAAAAAATGCATTTTCTTCGCAATAAAGCTGCCACCTGGACGTCCTAGATACAGACTTATTATTATAATACAATAAAATAAAATATTACTATGTTTCGTCCAATTTATTGAAAGTCAACAACCTTTCCAATTTTATTGTTTTCGTCAGGACATCACGATCAGGACACGTGGCCTGTGATGCGATCAGCCCACGTGTCATGACGCGAGTTTAACATTTTTTACCCATACAAAAAAAAGTGTACAACGCCGCTAAAGAAGTTATCACTTCAAAAACTTAATTAGTCGCACGTACATTTTGTAAGCCGACCAAAATTTAACTTAACAGAGTTTTGTATTGATGTGTTCATCAAACTCCGAACAACTTTATTAACTTCCAACGCCAACGATTATTATGAAAAGACTCTAGATCTAATTTTCTTTACTACGAACGGCAAAGGTCTTTCCAATGAATGTTTATGTATATTGGAAACAATCCTTTTAATGGTCCGATTATTACTCCGTCGCAGAGTGAGGTACTTAGCACTGTTCGTGTCGAAACCGAGGCCGTGATAATAATATTATCAGATGTTATTAGAAGCCCCAAAATTGCTTTAAACGGAGTTCGTCTAAGTTTCTAGATTAATTAACACCGGACGTGGACCTCTGAACGGGACGTCTCAGCAGAATTAAGATGCTCCATTATAAACGGCTCCTTTCCAACGGAACGTAACGGTTGCGTACAAATTTCAGGTAATGGACTTCCGAAAATGACCACAATAACTCTTCTAGGGCACCGAGATAAGATTAATCTCTCAAATAAGATAATTAAACTCGTCCTTTACAAGTTTACGAGATTTAACTAGATTTGTGAAGGGTTTCCAACTAAATTAATTAACTTTCTGTCAGTGGCTGTTTTGTATAATAATAATGAATAAATTAATATCTCTAACGCGTAACGGATAGAATACATATACTGATACTTATATCTGTATCTTATATATAAACAATTATCGTGTCACAATGTTAGTTACCGTACTACTCCGAAACGGCCTGACCGATTATTATAAAATTTAATATGCATATTCCGTGGGTCTGAGCATCGGCTACTATCTATTTTTCATATCCTTAAGTGATAATGGTTATCCAACTGTAACGTTGTGTTCTGAAACCTACAATGCGCCTTCGCGCCAAAATTCAAAGGATTGGGTATTGTAACGTAGTGTTCTCATATGGGTTAGGAGGAATGTTATCCCAGGAAATGGATAGAACACTACGTTACACACACCAAAATTTTTTTTTGGACAATATTTATTTTTTTATAATGTGGTATTAAAAAATACATACAAACCTAAATTTTCTCTTCTACCACCTGCCCCTATTTTTATGGCGGTACGAAGTTCGCTGGGTCAGCTAGTATTTATATAGAAATACATATTAAACATCCATAACTGGAGTGTACGGATGCTCCTATTCATCACACAATCATCTGCCCCTACCGGGACTCGAAAACCGGACCTCTTGAGCAGGCGACACCTTGGCAACCGGCGTACAAACCACTCGGCCACGGTGGTCGTAAAAATAATGAAATTTTCAGTACTATATCTGAATTCGTTTATCAATAATATGTTTTTGATCTTTCCTCCCGCTTTCCTGCAATTTGTGGGAGTGATTTCGTGAAATGGGACGGAAGTGTGTAACAGGAAGTCGCGAAAGCACGCGCTATTTGATTTGATTTTAGAACATAATGTTCAAATGGCTTATTCCTTTTGTAGTAGGTTTTATTTCTCTTTTTACTAATATAAGGTGAGGTTTCAAATGTTACACATTGCGAATACTGTAATGCTCGCTCGTTTTTGTTTGTCAACTTAATAAATGAAATGAAATGAAAACTATAAGTATACGGTATTGTTCATAACCAACTCTCGATTGCGTTGTATATATAACCGGCAAAACCCGATTTTAGGACAAACTAGTTTTTTCCTAGGCTAAACCAGATCATCCTTTAGGAGATAGGATAAGTCGGTCCAGACTAGGCTAAACTGTTTCATCCTATGGCCGATATGATAAACTAATTTAACCTAGGCTAAAATAATTGAGCGTTATATGAATACACTTCAGGATAAACTAGGTTGACCAGATCTTTTTAATAGGGAATAATATAATAATAATAATAATATAAATATTTCCAACACTCACACCAATTAGCCTAGCCCCAAACTAAGCACTGTAAGGCTTGTGTTATGGAATGCTAGAGTAACGGATAGAATATATATACCTACTGTACATATATAAGTACATTTATATAGAATTACATATTAAACATCCGGAGGATGCGATCGTTGAAGTTAAGCAACTTTCGCAGTGGTCGGTCATTGGATGGGTGACCAAAAATTTGTGGGTAGGTCATGCATGGCCCAATCTCCCTATTTTAATCATAGGGAAGGCCTGTGCCGCAGCAGTGGAGACATTAATAGGCTGATGATGATGATGATTAAACATCCATGACTGGAGTACAAATGCTCGTATTTTCGGATTTATTATTTAGGATTCGAACCCGGGACCTCTCGAGTCGGCGTCACCATGACACCTGGCTTACAAACCACTCGGCCGTGGAGGTCGTCAAACGTCAGGACTATTATAATCGTGATGCATTTATTAATTAAATCAAAATTAAGTTTACTTATTTTGCATGGTATACTCTGAAGGCGTTTGGAATTGCAGTGAACAGATTTTTCTTGCAGATGCACCTACTTGACAAACAGTTTTTTACGCAGCTGTACATTACAAAACCTGGCTCTTGTCCAACTGAATTTTTAGGCTTGCAGTCCTCGAAGATATATCAATAACTTGGTAATCATCGCCCACTCTTAAAAATTTCTTGCTAATACGCGTCTCGCTTAAACGTTTTTGGCTAGACAGAATTAGGACAGACTCGTCCAAACCAATTAATCCTGAAGATACTAATTATATATCTAATATGAATAGATCTTATTCATATGAGGCTCAAAAAGTTCAGCCTAGGTTAGACTAGTTTATCCTATCGGTCATAGGACGAACCAGTTTAGCCAGGACTGTACCGGTTTATCCTATCGCCTAAAGTAAGAAAACATATATACATATATAACAATGCAATACATAAAATGTTTTAAATATTAAAAATTAAAATATTTGTTGATTACACAGAAACCTCTTTCTGTGGTTAAACGATTTGAAACGGTATCACGTAACTTCAATTGTATTTTTATGCTTACAATTAGTAGGTACAGTTTTGAGACTATACAATATCTCATATTTGCCTATCAAATTATTGAACTTTTCTGAACTGCAATCTAGAAATATCAGTATAAGTAGTTTTTTTTTTATAGATAGGTCCGACAAATGACTCCACCCCACCTGATGTTAAGTGAAGGTGAAGTCCAGACGCGAAGATAGCTGATACAGCAGTTCTACCTGCCACACCAGCCATCCTCACCCTGCCGGCCTGCATGTTGCTTCTTCACGCCTCTTTTAAAGGATCCCAGTTTGTAAGAGGGAGGGAACACGTGAGCGGGCAGAAAATTCCATTTCCATTTCCACTTACCGAGATCATTCCCATGGTCATCCTTGTAATGGGCAGATTCACCGAGCTGCTTTAGGTCAGCAAGTACGAGGCCCAGTGTGAACGTAGACAACGGGGGAGTCCTCTCGAAGTGGTCCCATACAGCATTGGGTTCCCCAGTTCTATTCAAAATGAAAAAAATATAAAGCATTCATTATAGTAATATAAGTTATTTACGGGATTGTTACCATATACCTTGTTTTTAGCGAGTTTCCGATATTTCGGCACTGTTGCAAGTGCATCCATGATCACGGAGTTACTCCGTGATCGCCAAGCGCCATGATCACGAAGTTACTCCGTGATCATGGCGCTTGGAACAGTGCCGAAATATATTACTCACAAAAACAAGGTTCATGGTAACAATCCCGCTAATAACTATAATGCTACTGATCATGAAACTGTATAACAATATGACTAAGCATTTGTTCAAACTAATTACATGGTCCTTGTATTATGGATATTTCATCATCATCAGCCTATTAATGTCCCCACTGCTGGGGCACAGGCCTTCCCTATGGATGGAATAGGGAGATTGAGCCATGAGCCACCACGCGGTCCCAGTGCGTATTGGTCGGTACTATCGACATCGACTGCAGCCGGGACCAAAGGCTTAAAGTGCCTTCCGAAGCACGGAGGAGCTCGAGATAGTAAATTTTTGGTCACCCATCCAATGACCGACCACTGCGAAAGTTGCTTAACTTCAACGATCGCAGAAGAACGCGCTTACCACTTGCGCCATAGATCTCCTCAAAAATTTTTTTATGGATGTTCAAAAGAACAAAAACAATAAAGAGAGTTTTTTTTATGTTCAGCCGGCCAAATCTGAAGTACTCATATTTCAGTCGTATAATCAATAATATTTTTCTTTCTCTTCTTTTATAAGAACAATGAAATTTAAAACTATATTGACAAAGTTACATTTTAAACCAAAAACGCGTAGTATAGTCGAAAATAATGTTTTAATTTATAAACTAAAATTACTTAACTGAAACAGGAAATTGTATTTAATACGAAATTCAACGCAATTCATTTAGACCATTAAATTATAGAACATCAACTTTTCTACTGTGTATCGGCACTCGGCCAAGTGTCGATTCTACTACGCTTACGTAAAAATCGTGTATCTGTAGTAGTTAACGTAAAAATCGTGTCTCTGTAGTAAATTAATAGTGTCACTTTTTAACACAGTTCCTGTTTCTAAAACATAAAATAAAAAATACATATTATAGATAACAATGACAAATGAGTAAAGGAAATACATTGTTTTAAGCTTTCATGGTCACTAACATTATAGTAATATAAGTTATTTACGGGATTGTTACCATGTACCTTGTTTTTAGCGAGTTTCCGATATTTCGGCACTGTTGCAAGCGCCATGATCACGGAGTAACTGAAGTAATAAAATAAAGTAAGAATAGTGAGAATGTGAACAGTGGTACGGGTATCGAACGCAATAAAAGACTTCGTCGGAGGGTAGACCGATATGTCTGCCAATAACAGCCTACCCGCAATTACTTCAGTTACTCCGTGATCATGGCGCTTGCAACAGTGCCGAAATATCGGAAACTCGCTAAAAACAAGGTACATGGTAAAAATCTCGAAAATAACTTATATTACTATAAAGGAAATACATTCGTGATTTCTTGTTTTAGTAACGATAACTGAGAAGCTCGATGGCGCAGGTGGTTAGTGAATTCAGCCTACAATTGTGAAGGTTAAGCAACTTGCGCAATGGTCGGTCATCAGACGGATGACAGAAAAACTTATTATCTAACTCCTCCGTGCTTCGGAAGACACGTTAAGCCATTGGTCCCGGCTGCGTCTGCAGTCGATAGCACCCACCATTCAGCTCTGGGCCCGCGTAGTAGGTAACAGCCCAAACGCCCTATTCCACCCATAGGGAAGGCCTGTGCTCCAGTGGAGACATTGATAGGCTAAAGATGAACGGTAACTGTTTCTAAACTCAAATCTAATGAAACGCCATTACTATTTATTAGAGTATCAATACCCAAGTTTGAACTTGTTTCGCCAGGCTTGAATTTAAAACTCGCAACCGATGGGCTACACACAACCAACTTCATTATATTCAAACACACGTCTTAGTAGAGCTTTGGATTACACGTTAAAGTCATGTCTGATAAATATTTGAATTGTTTCTGCCACACAGTTCTTATACAAACTGCTTCTGTATCACTACTTTCAATAGTATATTATTTTAAACTTTCATGGTCACTAACATTATAGTAATATAAGTCATTTACGGGATTGTTACCATGTACCTTGTTTTTAGCGAGTTTCCCAAAAAAATTTCGTTAAAAACAAGGGAAATGTTTTTTTTTAACTGTATGGTAACAATCCCGTAAATAACTTATATTACTTTTAATAGCCTCCATCTTTTTTTATTGTTCATAATTTCTAAATCGAGATCACTGGAGTGGAAAATACATAATAAAAAGAAAGAAAAGATTTAAATTAAAAAATCACGTTATCAGAAGTAATTTGTAAATAGTCATCAGAGGGCTGAATTTATTCACTTCGTTTACGAAACATCGGAAACCAATTCGAGTTCTACATTTGTTTTGTTGTTGCCAAGCTACAAATGAACGACAGCGACAATGCAAAGATTGGAATCGAACTTTGGTCATTCAATCTGTGATTCTGTGATTCAGCCGTGCTATTGTGTAATGTTGAGGGCGAATTGAGTGTCTGGAAATGAAGTCTCGATGTAAGTATGCGCTTTTTATGGTTTCTGTTCCATTATCCAAAAGTTACACCGTTACTCAGCTTGAACGGCGTTTTGTATCCAGCCTCGTGGCAATTATAAAAAATAATTAGTGCCACCATTAAATAAAACAAGTTTCAGCAGTATAGATGCACTGATTTAATAATCTATTGACGTTTCGAAATCATAATTCTGACGACGCAGCCGTAGAAGGATGAGAAACGTCAATAAATAAATAAATTAGTGCACCTATACTGCTGAAACTTGTTTTATTTAATGAATGGTGAGCGTGAAGAAACAAATAGTGCCACCATGTTCTTGCGCTGCACGACGCCCAGCTCGAACGCAGTCTTGCATCCGGGCTCGTAGCAGTTACAGAGACTAGTAGACTAGTGAGACTACCCGGGCGCGTGGCAATAGAGACAAGTGAGTCTACCCGCACTCGTGGTAATTATAGAGACTAGTGAGGCTACCCGAGTTCGTGGCAGTTATAGAGACTAGTGAGACTACCCGGGCTCGTGGCAAAAGCGACAAGTAAGTCTACCCGCACTCGTGACAGTTATAGACACTAGTGAGACTACCCGGGCTCGTGGCAAAAGAGACAAGTGAGTCTCCCCGCACTCGTGGCAATTATAGAGACAAATAAGTCTACCCGCACTCGTGGCAGTTATAGACACTAGTTAGACTACCCGGGCTCGTGGCAAAAGAGACAAGTGAGTCTACCCGCACTCGTGGCAATTATAGAGACAAATAAGTCTACCCGCACTCGTGGCAGTTATTGACACTAGTTAGACTAACCGGGCTCGTGGCAAAAGAGACAAGTGAGTCTACCCGCACTCGTGGCAATTATAGAGACAAATAAGTCTACCCGCACTCGTGGCAGTTATTGACACTAGTTAGACTAACCGGGCTCGTGGCAAAAGAGACAAGTGAGTCTACCCACACTCGTGGCAATTATAGAGACTAGTGAGACTACCCGGGCTCGTGGCAATAGAGACAAGTGAGTCTACCCGCACTCGTGGCAGTTATAGAGACTAGTGAGACTACCCGCACTCGTGGCAATTATAGAGACTAGTGAGACTACCCGCACTCGTGGCAGTTATAGAGACTAGTGAGACTACCCAGGCTCGTGGCAATAGAGACAAGTGAGTCTACCCGCACTCGTGGCAGTTATAGAGACTAGTGAGACTACCCAGACTCGTGGCAGTCATAAAGACTATATAGTTATTAAGACGCTACATCTCCTCGGTTCTAGCCACTGGAGTATTGCTCAATGGCACCATGTTCTTGGACCACATGACACTCAGCTTGAACTACGTCTTGTATCCGGGCTCGTGGCAGACTAGTAATCTAGTGAGACTACCCAGGCTCTTGGCAATTATAGACTTATGCACCGGGCTCGTGGCAATTATGAAGACTATACAGTGAGTAAGACACTTACATCTCCTTGTTCCTAGCGACTGAAGTATTGCTTAGTGCCACCATGTTCTTGGGCCGCACAACACTCAGCTCGAACGGCGTGTTGTGTCCAGGCTCATGGAAGTTATAAAGGATATGTATAGTGAGTGAGAGACTTACATCTCCTCGGTCCGAACGACTGGAGTATTGCTCAGTGCCACCATGTTCTTGGGCCACACGACACTCAGCTTGAACAGCGCCTTGTAACCGGGCTTGTGCAAGTTATAAAGAATATATAGTGAGTGAGAGACTTACATCTCCTCGGTCCTAGCGACTGGAGTATTGCTCAGTGCCACAATGTTCTTGGGCCGCACAACACTGAGCAAGAACAGCATCTTGTATCCGGGCTTGTGGAAGTTAAGAAGACTATAGTGAGTAAGAGACTTACAAATCCTCGGCCCTAGCGACTGGAATATTGCTCAGTGCCAACATGTTCTTGGGTCGCACTACACTCAGCTTGAACAGCGCCTTGTACCAAGGCTCGTGGAAGTTATAAATAAAATATAGTGAGTGAGAGACTTACATCTCCTCGGTCCTAGCGACTGGAGTACTGCTCAGTGCCACCATGTTCTTGGGTCGCACTACACTCAGCTTGAACAGCGTCTTTTATCCGGGCTTGTGGAAGTTAAGAAGACTATAGTGAGTGAGGGACTTACATCTCCTCAGTCCTAGCGACTGGAGTAATGCTCAGTGCCACCATGTTCTTGGGCCGCACAATACTGAGCAAGAACAGCATCTTGTATCCGGGCTTGTGGAAGTTAAGAAGACTATAGTGAGTGAGAGACTTACATCTATTCGGTCCTAGCGACTGGAATATTGCTCAGTGCCACCTGCCACCATGTTCTTGGGTCGCACTACACTCAGCTTGAACAGCGCCTTATACCAAGGCTCGTGGAAGTTATAAATAATATATAGTGAGTGAGAGACTTACATCTCCTCGGTCCTAGCGACTGGAGTATTGCTCAGTGCCACAATGTTCTTGGGCCGCACAACACTGAGCAAGAACAGCATCTTGTATCCGGGCTTGTGGAAGTTAAGAAGACTATAGTGAGTAAGAGACTTACAAATCCTCGGCCCTAGCGACTGGAATATTGCTCAGTGCCAACATGTTCTTGGGTCGCACTACACTCAGCTTGAACAGCGCCTTGTACCAAGGCTCGTGGAAGTTATAAATAAAATATAGTGAGTGAGAGACTTACATCTCCTCGGTCCTAGCGACTGGAGTACTGCTCAGTGCCACCATGTTCTTGGGTCGCACTACACTCAGCTTGAACAGCGTCTTTTATCCGGGCTTGTGGAAGTTAAGAAGACTATAGTGAGTGAGGGACTTACATCTCCTCAGTCCTAGCGACTGGAGTAATGCTCAGTGCCACCATGTTCTTGGGCCGCACAATACTGAGCAAGAACAGCATCTTGTATCCGGGCTTGTGGAAGTTAAGAAGACTATAGTGAGTGAGAGACTTACATCTATTCGGTCCTAGCGACTGGAATATTGCTCAGTGCCACCTGCCGCCATGTTCTTGGGTCGCACTACACTCAGCTTGAACAGCGCCTTATACCAAGGCTCGTGGAAGTTATAAATAATATATAGTGAGTGAGAGACTTACATCTCCTCGGTCCTAGCGACTGGAGTATTGCTCAGTGCCACCATGTTCTTGGGTCGCACTACACTCAGCTTGAACAGCGCCTTGTACCAAGGCTCGTGGAAGTTATAAATAATATATAGTGAGTGAGAGACTTACATCTCCTCGGTCCTAGCGACTGGTGTATTGCTCAGTGCCACCTGCCACCATGTTCTTGGGACGCACTACACTCAGCTTGAACAGCGCCTTATACCAAGGCTCGTGGAAGTTATAAATAATATATAGTGAGTGAGAGACTTACATCTCCTCGGTCCTAGCGACTGGAGTATTGCTCAGTGCCACCATGTTCTTGGGTCGCACTACACTCAGCTTGAAAAGCGCCTTGTACCAAGGCTCGTGGAAGTTATAAATAATATATAGTGAGTGAGAGACTTACATCTCCTCGGTCCTAGCGACTGGTGTATTGCTCAGTGCCACCATGTTCTTGGGTCGCACTACGCTCAGCTCGAATGGTGTCTTGTATCCGGGCTCGTCGAAACATGGGAACATGCGACGAGCGTTGTTGGGCCGAAGTTGCGTCGCCGCTACTAACCTACAGCATAATTTGATTATTTATTTTATTAGGAACACCAGTATTTGTTTATACAATTACCAACATAAAAAAATAACATACGTGTAATCCAGGTATAACAAAGTTTAAGTTTAAAGGTGAACACCACGTCACGCAAAAAGAAAAGACAATAATGTAAATATGGGTTCACGTTTTATATTATTTTCAGGTTATGCAAACATCAAATTACTTGTGCAATTTCTTGAGACAAACTCAATTGGTTTTGTGGAATAAAAAATCTATGTTTATGAGAATTAATTCCTATTTCCGTTGGTCACACCATAACCTGAAAACGACTTTACCAATTCCATCTGTCTTTAAAATTTTCTAATATCTGGTTCGTAGAACGATCTTTTAAAATAAAAAAGTTAACGAAGATGAGGTCTGGGGCGGCAGCTGGTTTGCAATAAAAATTGTACAATCAATATTAATTTCACATCCTTCTACTTTACCTATGGCATAGACTTAGTCCCTTAACATAAAAAATAATTTCAGTATTTGTAATTTACCCAAGTTAGCAGCTGCGTGAATAACGTATAAATTTAATCCCAGACACTTTTCATGAATTTGTAAGTACAATGGAAACAAATTGGTAATATTTAAGAAATGCTACTTCTAAATCTTATTCAACACCTTATTGTTCGCGACTAGTTTTTCATAAAGATGTTTCTTAGAAGTAATATTGTATTGTCATATTACCTATTTTTTACTAGCTAGGTTACAATATATGACTGTTAGAACTTTTATATTTCTATTTGTATGTCATAAATATTAAAGCGCTCTCATACTACCTAATATCTTTATTTGATACTGACAGCATCTTGCCTATCATCCTTTTAAATCGAATAGGTATGTTACGAAAGGCGAACGCGGTGGCGTAGTAGTTAGGGCGTTTTTAGCCGCCTTTATTCGTCATTGTCGACTAAAATTTTTGTTCAACTACAGGTTTCATTTCTTAGAATGAAATTTTCAAAATGGAAGCGGACAAAAGGCGGTACTCATACTCCATAATCACTCGAATTTTTAACGTATCCATGATGACGAAAAATGTACAATGCGATGAAACAGAACACTAAAAATGACTAATTTTCAAAGACATTCCATATTTTAAAAACAAAAATGTTAGAAAACTTAGAATCAATAGTTAATGAAAAAATAAAAAAATGCACTTGAAATAGCCAGTACGGCAGAACGGCAATTTCATAGGTAAAGAGCTATTATAATTTGTATAATGGTCAACAATATTATCGTTGATCGTGGTGCTCATTTTACTGTGACTAAAGATCATATATATAAACATTTCCTCTACTCGCCTAAATAAATATAAAAGAATGAAGGAAATTTCAATATAGACGTAGTTCAATTTCACTTCCGATTCATGTTGTGGAATCGGATATCACTAGTGAATGTTTGAACTACATTCTTTATGGAGCTATATCCGTGAAGCAATTCCGAGCATTTCCGTCTCTGATTGTAAGAGCATTCGAACTTGATTTTATACAGTACCTAAGTACCTATAGAACATGGCTTTATTCCTTTGAATAGATTTTAAAGAACATGAATTCTTCCAAGGAAATGGAACTTAGAATTTGCATTCAAAGTTGCGAGGTTTCGCAATGGATGCCTTTGAATATTTGAGCGGATAGTATTTTAGGAACAGAGAAATAAGTTATCTTAATATAGTATTTGCTGTTACTTAAATAATTGCATTGCAAAGATACAGTTCTGTCGTTGATTTACTAGTATTGTATATTTTGTCATTACAGGAACCATGTTTTTATCATATTGATTCTTGTACAATATTCTCGTGGCAACCGGCAATGCTGTCGACTATAAGTCACGGCACGAAACTATAGCACTGAGCGTTATTGCACAGAAGTAAAAATTAAGATATCTTGGGGGGAAATGAGGTGCGCGGGTGCGCCGATTGGCTCTCCAGTCATACTTATGCGCAGCTATCTCCTCCGCTTTTTTTTAGCGCTAGAATTACGTGCCGCGACTTGTAGCAAGTCGAACTCGCATTTTGTTAGTTAAAAAGCTATCTACCATTATTTCAATGTCTTCAAGTTCTATTTTCGCAACAAAGTTGGTTGCTTGTAATAATTATTAAAAGGTATGGATAAAAGCACAGATATGAGAAGTAGGCTTAAATAAACTCGCTTGTCGCTTCAATAAACAAATCCTTCCCTAGCCACTTTGATAATGAGAATTCAAAGGCGCGGAATCGAAGCGATGAATTCGCAAATGTACTTAGAAATGTATTCCAATTTTACATACACAGGAGAATATCAAATAGTACCTTATCCACCCCTACCAAGGGCAATGTGATGAATCGATCACAATTTGTTTCGATATCTCTTGGGAACAAGCTTCAACATATTGCAGATACGTACAGACAGATGATAATACAGCTATTTAGATGAGAAACGGAATATATTGGTAAGAAAATGCCCATTCTATGAATTTTTAGGGCTCCTTCCCCAAAGACTGGGACACAAAACTACTTTTATGATTAAATAGGAAGAACGGGCCATAACCTGCCTATAAAGTACTGTAGGGCTTAACCTCAAGGGAAGCCCTGGGGACGCAGCTTTCAACAACTACAATTGATAATCTCACAACGTTTTACTTCTTTTATTTCATCATCATCATCATCATCATCAGCCTATTAATGTCCCCACTGCTGGGGCACAGGCCTTCCCTATGGAAGGAATAGGGAGATTGGGCCATGACCCACCACGCGGGCCCAGTGCGGATTAGCGGGTGCTTCCGACTGCAGATGTAGCTGGGACCAACGGCTTTACGTGCCTTCCGAAGCACGGAGGAACTCGAGATAGATGTTTTGGTCACCCATCCAATGACCGACCACTGCGAAAGTTGCTTCACTTCAACCATCGCAGCCGAACGCGCTAACCGCCTGCGCCATCAAGCCCCTCCCTTTTCTTTTATTTAAGCTCTGAGAAGAGAACATAATCTTTTTTAACAATACTTCTAGTCTGTGCCTGAATTCTACTTAGAACTCAGAATGTTCGATATGAGACAGAAGATTCTCTTTTTCAAATATTTAAAGTAATGACATTTCCTTTTTAATACAATTGTCAGCCGTAGGCATTACATAAGCAAAGGGTTTATACAAGCAAGGAGGCCGTAACGTTCCTGGCGGTACAGTACTACTCATAGTCCGTACTCATACTAACTACAGTATTAGGTACTCGATAGCTTTACTCTAAACCGAGTAAAATAAATTTAAAAAAAGGTAAATTTAAAAAATCAAAAAACCCGACTGCTTAATTATGCTTCAAATAAAAACTGAAAAGAAAAAAACAAGTTGTAGCGCGCATCTCTAGTTTTCTTACGCGATGTTGGCTGAACGTCCGCGATGCGCGTCCATTGTGTTGCCTGCACTGACACAGCCACAACCAATCGGAGCGCTTCCCGCCAAACGCACGCATCGGACCGTGTACCGCGCGCCCCTCAACCAATCAGAGCGCTTCCCGCCGATGCGCCGGAGTCGGACCGCGCTCCGCGCGGCCCCCTCTCGCGATGCCACCATTTTAGTAGTCAGTTAGCCGTACGAAGCCACTACGTATTGACGATTGTTACGCTCTCCATTGTATAGTGTTAACTGGTGAAAGTAAACTCTTTTAAACCAAAAGGACTTTGGTTTTCTTATTAAAAGAACGTTACAAGTGGCTGCCCAACGTTGCGCGGGTGAAGAAAAGTGAACCCGGTCAGTCGTAATACCAAACGTTTCCGCGTGTGACCATCAAAAAAATGCCACGTGCGAAGAAGGACGCGACGCCCATGGAGCCCGTGGACGCCGACGATGAATCTGGCGTCGAAGAGACAGTTTTTTCTTCGGGACAAGTTGCCGCCATGATGGCCGCCATGCAGCAGTCCCAAACTAAAGCTTTCGAACGCCTGCTGGAGAGAATAGTTCACCAGCCGTCATCCCCTACTTCTGCGCAGACTCCCACTCCGTCCGCCGGCAGCGGAACCTTCACGCACTGCACCGCTAGGTTTGGCGGTGACGCCGGTGAGTCAGTCGAGGCATTCATCGACGCCATACAGAGTTATAAAGAATGCGCTAACGTGTCTGAAGAGAATGCCCTCAGGGGGCTCTCCATGGTGCTTACACACAACGCAGCGGTATGGTACCAAAGTATCAAGAAGGAGATCACGTCGTGGGACTTTGTCATAGACCTCCTGATACACACTTACGGCGATAAACGACCCCCGCACCAGATATATAAAGAATTGTTTAAACAACAACAAGGTAACCAGAACACCGACGTGTTTGTCTCGAAATGTCGAGCGTTATTGTCAAGGATTCCCTCCGGTGATATAACAGAAAAGGCACAAGTAGACATGGTATACGGCCTGCTCGACGTACGCGTTCGTAAACGTCTACGGAGAGAAGAATTCAATAATTTTTCCGGCATGTTACGCTTGGCTCGCTCCATAGAAATAGAGGAAAGTGATACGCGTACCCAGCAGCACGCCGGTCCGCCGCCTAGGGCCCGCCAGAAGTCGGCGGCGCACGACAACGGCCAGAGCAGCAGCGCGGCGCGGCCTCCGGCGCCACCGCGCCATTCCGCCGGCCCGAGCGCTGATAACAACGGGATGGAGCCGGTCGCGAGCGCGACGGCGCCGTCGCGACGTCCTGCGGGCACTACCGATACCTACTCACGATCGAGTCAGAGCGCGAAACAACGATGTGTGTATTGTAAAAGATACGGACACGTACGGGAAAATTGTAATAGGTTAAGAAAGTGCAGTGATAATAATAATAATAGTGATGATGATAATAGTGATAAGTCGCCTAAGCCGATTTACTGCTACGGTTGCGGAGCGAGAGGGGTCATGCGGTCGCAATGTCCGACGTGTAACAATAATATAGCTTTCTCATCTCTTGAAATCGAAAAACATACGCCGGATTTGGTAAGGGATCGATGCCATTTAATAACTACACCCTCTGATAA